TAACGCGTGGCTATATAGCTTATTGCAATATAACGCGTGGCTATATAGCTTATTGCAATATAACGCGTGGCTATATAGCTTATTGCAATATAACGCGTGGCTATATAGCTTATTGCAATATAACGCGTGGCTATATAACGCGAGGCTATACAACTCATTGCAATATAACACGCATTGCTATAAAACTCATAAAAATCAACGCGTACAATATAAAGCACTGCAATATAGTAAATGGCAATATAACGCGTAGAATTTCAATACCTGGAAGTACAACACGTACCAATCTAACACGTTAAATAGTGGCAATCTACCGTGGGAATATAACATGTGATAATTTAACGCGTGAGAGTAAAACACGTGGCAATATAACGGGAGAAAATACATACTAACGAAATACGTGACAAAACTAGTACATACAAAAATCCATTTAGTGGTCATATAAAGAGAAGGAACTATTGGTAACTTTGTATTGCTACAACTCCATTCGTGACAATATAAGAAGAATCTACTGTAGCATTAATCATACAGTATCATAAAGCATTAATCAAAGAGTTAAAATTGGAAAACTGAACGTGCACTGTCTGCATAATCATAATTGTAGCGTACCGTACTACAAATGGCCATTTTCCCTGTGACATTTAACGTGTTAATAATTTAATAAATTTTAATATGTCCCATGGCATCTGTTTTCACAATGACAGTCGATGTATTAGAGTCATCTATAAGGATAACGACGGGAAATATATCTAAGGCACACTCGCACAGACTTTTTCTCTTTTCATATTCGTATAAATATAAAATACTGGTTCGAATAAAGGGAATTAAATTAACACAGTCAAAGGTGCGGTTCTTGAAAACGAAAAAAAGAAACCTCGGAAGCTTTTTATAACGCACAAAAGGTGTTCGGAGTCAGTGCAACGCTGGAGAAAAAGGGAGAACAATAAAAATCGAATATCCTGAGGGAAGAAGGATGACCGCTTTTTATAAATCATTTAACCAACACCAGAATAATGAAACTTTAAAATACTTCATCGTTACAAAGGCAATACAATATAAAGAAAGAAATAACGAGCAATTAATAATGAAATTTGTAATTTAACAAAAGGTTGATTACGTATTTGATTGATTTATAACGGTATTTTTAAATCCCCATACGGGGATTTAAAATACGCCCCATACGGGATTTCATAGGGGTTGTGAAAACTTTGACAACTGTTCGAAAAAGGTGTCACGTTCGACCCTTCATCAGATTCTGTGGTTAAAAAATAATTAAAATATTTAACACATGTCCGAGACCGAGTAAAATTTTCTCGGACAAAAAGGGATCAGGAAGTGCTGCAAGAAGTCCTGAAGAGTCGGTTTAACACTACATTAATTTCGACGCAATAAGAGAGACACGTTTAGGCAGAGTTCCAGTATGAATCTACAAATCCGCAACAGTATTAGTCCGTTATCGCGATGGCGTTCTATCTGAAATCCTATTTCCGAAATCCATTACGTGTGACGTAACTTTTCGAGAATGGCTGCATAAATGTCGTATTTCGTGAATAGTCTTTCGATAACGCCAATATAAACTGGCGTACGTTACGCGTCTTCGAAGCGGAAAATACGAAATGTCTGACTCGTAACTTTGGGAACCCCCAAGGTACGATTATCCGTTACGTTATCGACAGATATCGATAATATTACGACATATACTTCCTGACTTCACAATTTGTGATCGAAATAAGTTAAATAATTTCTTGGTCTTTAAATAAAAAACAGCTCCAAACCTAATCGATTCTAAACTTGATCAAATGCAACCTAATCTGACCTGATCTGCCTGACTTCACAATTGGAATTTGTGGTTGAAATAAGTTTAATAATTTCTAGATCTTTAAATAAAAAACAGTTCCAAATCTAATCGATTCGGGTACCTTAACTTGATCAAATGCAACCTAACCTGACCTGATCTTCCTGACTTTACAATTGGAATTTGTGATGGAAATAAGTTAAATAATTTTTCGGTCCTTAAATAAAAAACAGTTACAAACCTAATCGATTCGGGTACCTTGGCTTGATCAAATGCAACCTAACCTGACCTGAGCCAAACCTAAAAACCTAACTTAGCCTGATTAATAACCTAATATAATCTAGCCAACATCATCTAACAATAGAATCTAATCTAGTAATATACTGATATTGTCGACATGCCGCAATATTTCAATAAGATATCGATGGTGCATCGATAATCGATAGAGGCAGTTCTACCACAAGAACATGATGTAACATTTAATGTGCCTTACTACGAAAATATCGAATTCCATTTCAAATACTTTAAAAAAAAAAAACGTATGAAAATAATTAAATAGTAATTCTGCAACCGATTGAAATGACATTAAAAGAAATTTTATCGGTGAATTTTGACAGCTGGAGATAAATCTTTATCTACGCGTCTCGTAAAGTGACAATGGTGAAAACAATGTTTGAAAAGGTTAGGTGCGTCGCTGCTCCGAATCTACGTTAACCTCATTTCGATTTATGAAACGTTGTAACACCGTCGTATAAGTAGTACTTTACGTAAGAACAGGGACGTCTGTTATCGATCTAATCTCAAAAATGCATCAAGATTGAATTTAAAACTTCTAACGTATCGCGCAGATGCAATTTCGCCGTGGATCGTCGGTCGTTTGAACGCGGATAAGTGTTCGGTTAAAAACAATCGTTACCGGATCAGCAGAAAGGCAACGTAATTCACTTACAACGCATATACGAGGCCACTGTTAGCATGGCATAAACAAGATTACCGTACAGTGGAAAACTGCGCGTGAAACGGAACTTCAAACCAGTTACAATGTTCGATAGTTTAACGGTTGTGCAGGTTAATAGTACGGTACTCACCTGTCTTTTTTCTCTAATTCGGCATCACCTCCTTCAGCAACTGAAGTTACTTTTTCTTCTGCCGGCAATTCCGTGCCGTCCTCGCCTTTCTTTCCCATCCATGTAGACATCTGATTCGTTAACCCCGTGAACATTTTTAATTATAATATATCAACTGCTGTACACTCGAATATGATTGACAGATACTGTCTGTTCCTCCTTTCTTCCTATCTCCTACGCTAGCAGAAACGTCACTGAAACCCTTACGGGACCGAGTGACAGCAGCAACTGATCCGTTCTGATGGTCGCGCAACCACGAACTGCGAGAAGTGCGTGAGTGATCGCGCATATATTACCGTGCACACAAATATGGCCGACCAGTGCGCCGCTAACCTCGAACGGGGAAACGTCGAAGCTCTGTAATCGATTTCTGTACAGTCGCGCGAAATATAACGTGCGCGTTCTAAGCTATAGTTCGAACCTTCTTAATAACATATATAGTATGTTCGACGACGGACTATACTCATCTTGCGACGAGTTTTCATTCGTCTACTCGTGACAGCTCTGATTGGTTAAACGGAGCTTCGTAACCAACGGCAGTGCGCATGCGCCCTTACGATTCTTGATACCAACATAAATTTTAGTAGTATTAAATTATACGCGTGGCTAGCATGCCGCTTGGCGCCAAATTTGAAATTGAATTTGGTTTACTTGTCACAAAGGTGATTGAACTTATTCCAAATAATTTTTTTAAAAGATAGAAGTATAAAGATAATATCGAAACTGATTTTTATGAACTAAAATGGTGGAAAATGTTGAAACTCCACGTTAGAAAAATATATTACTTTATTAAATCTATACAAGGCAGTTAGAACATTATCGAACTCTGTATACAATTTGTACATTTTCTACTTCTTCGAGTTCTTCAGCATCAGTGTTGCGAATCGTTAAAATGAACATTGTACGTCATTATTTGGAGGTAGATTTGTACGTAAATAATTGTATTTAAAACTAACGTGTTACTCCTACAGAGTGATGTACTATCAATCGGTGTTCCAGTTGATCGTATGTGCTAACGAATGTTGTACTGACTTTCGGAATCGTGCTATATAAATATTCTGTTTGGTACATTTGTACTTAGTCTAGGATTTAGAATTTATACATTTCTAGCGGAATAAGGATACGAACAGCACCTTACGTTCGATATCACAGCTTACCACGAATAGTTTGTGTCTCAAAGATTCAGATTATTCATGGTATTGGTGTCCTTTGGTGTTCTCAAAATTTTCTTAATATTAATGAACTTTACTGTTCTATTTTTGGCATACTGATATTTTAAGCTTGTTAAATATTGATGAGTGATTTTATTTTTGATATCAGAAGTATTCCAAGTATTGGTACTCGATAACGTCTTTATACCGATTTTTGTTTCTAATTTCGTGATCGCTTATCTTGTCCGATGATATGATTGCCCGCGTCTGATGCGTTTCTACTATAAACAATGTACATTTACTTGAACTGAAATATTTACAATAGTACTACGGAACTTTCACATTTACTGGAAGTTCATGTTCAATGACGATTATGAACTTGCGTCGTTTTATGGCTGTTTTCGTTCGCAATTACGTAATGGTATTTAACCGCGTGTCGCAAGTCAATAAAATATTCCTAATATTCCTATGTATATACATATACGTGTCTTCACCCCTAGGAATGTGTATTATTTAAATACTATCACTATTTCGCTTTTGCTGCTGCTGCCTTCAAAGCCTCCTGTTCGCGTTGATACCTAAAACCAAAACACACATGTTACTCAATTATCACAATGAACATCTGGAGGATAAAAAAACAAATTGTTACATCACCATATTTCTAAATTCCCATATCTCTTGACCCGTACACCCGATTAAATTTAGCGCGTTTCAGTAATCGATAATGCACATTTCTTTTCCAATAATTTGAAAAAAATTTCGCTATTTAAACTCTGAACAGAGAATAAATGCACTTAGCTAGACTGACGAATAAATATGCATAACTAAATAAGTGCATGCACGTATACTCGATCGCGTAATAAATAATACATCGAGTCTGATGATACAAACGGGAAAAGTTTCATTAAACTTTCGGGGTCTGAATATTCCTATTTCTTTCCCGTTGAATATGTTATCGGTTTTGCAACGCTGATTTACATAATAACTCGCCGGGCAAATTCGAATAATTCCGGAACAAAGTTCGAAAGTTTTTACGTAACCAGCATGAAAAACTTACATTATCGCGCGACCAACTTGATACAAAGATGTCAACGCTACGAAGAGGTTGACGCTGAAGAGGCTCCAATTTTTCGGGGTGATCGCTAAGGAATACCTGGTCCAGATCAAGCCAGTAACGCCCAGGGCAGACGATTGACTAACGGAGAGCTGATTCGCTGGCCTCTGCAGATCACTGAGGCCAGCTATTACAAGTCCCTGTAATTTGCAAACTTCGTGTAATGATACAAGAGACTACAATGCAAACTATGAACAAAAGGAAACAAGAACGTTTAGTGCAGAGAGAGAGAGATAATGAAAGGGTCAACAATGTGGGCCACGTTCTGATGATTTACTTTCAAAGGTTGACCTATATTCTGCTAAATCGACTGCCATTTGTTGTAGACATGCGTATAAGCAGGGCCGGCACAAGCTTTCTTTGGAACTTGGCTTTCTAAGAATTTATGGAACAGGAAAATTAATGGGAAATTACGTGGAGGTGTATGCTTAGTATTCGGATATTTATAGGAATTATGTTTTCAATATGAAGCAATTTAAACACAAAGTATGATTCTGATTTCATATTTCTGGACTTGGGCCTAGAAATTTTTGTGCCGCCCCTGCAGAATAAAAATTCATTTTACAAAGAATGTTAACCCTTTGTTCCATTGTATGTTACACAAGAAATAATACGCCATTCTTGTCTTTTTTTATATTACACAATTTTTGTTGAACTAAATTTGCAACACAAAAGATTTGCTTATATTATCATTCCTGTAATTTAATCTTGAAAATGCAACAAAGGTAGTCTAAAAATTACAAGTGACAAATTCAGTATTTCCCTAAATAAAAATGTTACAAAGTAGTGTTTTTAAAAAAGTCTTCCAATAATCCTAATCTTATTTTAAGTCTTCTCTGTTTCAATCACGGCAGTCCGGAAGTATCGATAGTTAAGTATCGACTTTCTGTACGGTTACGAAATCTAAATCCTTAGCGGAATTATCAAAGGTGATCACGATAATAGCATTTGTCGTTTCTTTCGCAAGAGTGACACCGTGATTCGCGTCAATATCGCATTTGGATCGCGTCCATGCGGATGCAACTTCCTAGCCGTCGAAAATATTTCTGTAACGTCTTTACTGCAGCCAGCGATGCAAATATCGCGTCTAGCTTCTTCTAAAATTCGTGCGTGTTTAAATATTATAATACACGCAAAAGAGATACACTTTAACGCGTGATTAACACGTAATCGTTTCTTCTGTAATCCGTAATGATTTTGCACGGTGCTGTTATGAAACGAATATGAAATGATAACGTGACGTCAAAACTTCAAAGATATTACTGACCCATTTAAAAGCTGGTGCCCAGAAGAATATAGTCTGCGGACCTGAAAGGGGAAAATAGGTCGATACTTGCTATTACGTACATACTTTTTAATTGTAAAAATTAACGTATGATTCTGAATTATTAGGATAATGAATTTTTTCGATTATCTACATGCTCAGAAAATGATTACATGACTATTTATCTAGACAATAATGGTGACAACGCAAAAATTTCAGTTGCGTCGAAGATATTTGAGAATAAATTCGATGGAAATTAATTCGATGAATAAATTCTATATTTTTACATTAAAAAATTGGACATGATCTAGTTTCAATTCGTAATTTATTTTAATACAATTTAACGTTATTATATTACTTGTTATTATTAACAAAATTATTCTACAAAAATATAACTTTTAATTCAAATATTTATCCATATTTGAATAAGTTTGATTTCGAATTAACCCTCCAGTAAACTCACAGCGCACATTTTCATACAACAAATACAATTACAATTACAAATACAAATACAATTATGTTAAGACTAAGAATTAAAATACATTGCTGAAATAAATTTGATAAAAATCAGTAACGATATTTTTAGAAGATATTTTACAAGGTGGTGAGGCCACTGCGCATCACCGGAGGGTTAAACGTTCTTTTCTCCTCGAGTAATTGCGTTCCATTTTTCATTCTCAAATACCTTCCAAAAATTGAAAATAATGGCGAGCCCCGAAAGCGCGCAAAACTATTCTTAAAAATATAGGACACTGTGTCACAAGATGACATTGATCTACATGTGTACACGCGACGGTCAAGTCCATCGATATACATAGCATCACAGCTGACGGCAAAAAGTAGATGCTCGTAGAACGTTACAGGGATGCTTCCGCCCTTTCCAGCGGCACGGGCGCATATGTACATTCCCCGGCACGTGTCACTATTCGAAAAATGATAACTTACTAACCAGCAGGGTGATTCCACAGTGGCTGTAGCTTCTCAGGCACTAACTTGCCGATGGTGTTCATCGCATTTCTGTAGACGACCGACATTGTTCTTTCGCACGTTCACGCGTTGATAATGCAAAACGAAATGAAATTTTGAAAACCGCTCGAGGATTTAACTGAACGAGTGAACGTGGAAATGACAAGCGGTACGGCGATCCGCACACTGAGACTGAATATCGCGAAGTGCAACGATTGGTAGCCGTGCTAGCCGCACGGGTATTGGGCTCTCCCTTTGCCCCGCTAGCGTTTCCTGGGTCGAAACCACTACTCTTCGCCTGTATATCTGTTGCTTGTGTGCGTCATTATACAGGGTGTTTCGTAACTTTCGACTGGACTTATTTGGGAATTTAGACACGCTATGTCTTTTAGCTGACATAACGTTCACATGTTCGATCTTTTAGTTTTAGTAAAATACTTGGAACTATTTATCGAGGATAAAATATGTGAGTCTTGTCGTTATTTTTCACTAGAAAACGGATAATGCAGAAAGTAAACTGCAAAGAATAGTTGCAATATAATTTATACATTAAAGGATGAAGAGGGTGGAATTTTGAAGTGGAACTTCCTTTTACAATGTTTCCTCAGAACATTATTTTCTGAATTATTCACAGTTAGAGGTGGCCATTCAGGAGCATGGTCAGAGCATACAGGGCCGTAGCTCTAGTTTCTACCCTATAGTATAGTACAGTTTCTCAGGGAAAATATAGATGAAAGATTACATTGATTTTACCGCATTGAAATTTACAAATTGAAAATTTGGTAATTTGCAACTTTAAAAATTAGAAAATTTTGAAGTTTCAACATTTTAGCAGAAATATTTTCTTTCAACTTCGACCCTCTTTGCAAACTTAATTAAAAATTACGATACACCCTGTACACGCACGCGAAGATTATTTAGAATGATGAATAAGTAGCTTATTTGTAAGCATTGATGTTAACAGATAAAAATACAGTAATTAAAATATAATTATGCATGTCCGTGATTGAACTACTTAAACTTAAGATGATCTTCATCTCTATCGTATGGCCTTCATCTTAACTTTGATTACACTTTGCAGCCAATAAATATCAATAGATACAAAATATTAACAAAATTAATACTAGAAGTTCGCGTTTAAGTACAATTACATAATCAGAAAATTGATATTTTGGAATACACAACGAAACTAGATAAACTACGCAGTTTATTGGAAAAATAAAGTTTGTGGAATAATTTCACGGAAGTGATACAAGAGATCTTATGTACCTACAGATAAGATTACAATTAATAATTACAGGAACTAGTTTCGCTCAATTACGAGTATCATGTTATCTACAGTCACAAAATGTGGAGTATATTTTGTACAATTTCAGGTACCACAGGTTTGCAATAAAAGGAAACATTTGCGATAACGAAATCTACGTTTGTCAATATTCGTGCAAGGTATAGGCTTTTCTGAGTCAAGGGGAAGGAATGTAGTCTTATTCGTATTAGGCGTTTTATCTGCTAAGACAGAAGGTTACGCATTCTATTATGCTCTTTGACTGTTTCAAGACAATTGGGGACAGGGCTGTAGGAAGAACTTGCAGTACCTATGGTTCACATCAATTATGTATTCCAATTGTCGTATGTTGTCGTGGTACATTTGCAAATTTTCAAATCTCCAAATTTGCAACTTTATGAATTCTTATATGTTCAAATTTGCAACCCTCTAAATTCTCATATGTCCAAATTTGCAACCCTCTAATTTCTCACGTCTCCAAATTTGCAACCTTCTAAATTCTCACATCTCCAAATTTGCAACCCTCTAAATTCTCACGTCTCCAAATTTGCAACCTCCAAAATTCTCACGTCTCCAAATTTACCATCCCCAAAATTCTCACATTTCCAAATTTGCAACCCTCCCAAATTCTCACGTCTCCAAATTTGCAACCTTCTAAATTCTCACGTCTCCAAATTTGCAATCCCCAAAATTCTCACATCTCCAAATTTGCAATCCCCAAAATTCTCACATCTCCAAATTTGCAATCCCCAAAATTCTCACATCTCCAAATTTGCAATCCCCAAAATTCTCACATCTCCAAATTTGCAACCTTCTAAATTCTCACATTTCCAAATTTGCAACCCTCCCAAATTCTCACGTCTCCAAATTTGCAACCCTCTAAATTCTCACGTCTCCAAATTTGCAACCCTCTAAATTCTCACATTTCCAAATGTGTAACCCTCTAAATTCTCATGTCTCCAAATTTGCAACCTCCAAAATTCTCACATCTCCAAATTTGCAACCCTCTAAATTCTCACATTTCCAAATGTGTAACCCTCTAAATTCTCATGTCTCCAAATTTGCAATCCCCAAAATTCTCACATCTCCAAATTTGCAATCCCCAAAATTCTGAAACTAAAACCCAAATTGTGAAACTCAGTACACTGCCGAGGCTAAGTGTCCCATTTACCCGGTGCAACAAGTAAAGTTCCTGTTCCCTGTTACTCCCCTAAGAAGCCTACATAACGCTCGAGTGTATACATTACCGATACACACGTGGCAGTACAGAGATCGACATTGGCCTAGAGAACAAAATTGGATAGTCTGTTCAGTGCCAAGACGTACGTCGCACGGTCATTCTATTCTATTAGTGTATTAACCACGTGTGGTTGTTGTGCACAACGTTATAAAACTATGTTCAATTCCGGTTGCAGTCCATTGATCCCGTGGGAATGAAGCGTGAACGTGTGTATTTACAGAGCTTTATTTACATTAAAATGTATACACTTTTTGTAGCAGCAAGTAATATACACGGTGTTGTTGATAATACAATAAATGCTATCGAAAATTGAGCTCGACGAGAGAGAATGCAAACGTTGTTTTAGCCGAACAAATATTACGCTACTCATGGTCAGCGGTATTGTTCGCATCCCTCCTGAATTGCACCACAGTTAACAAATACATTAGCCGCATGTATTCTTCTATCACAAAATCGATAAACAGTTCGGCATTGTACGCGACCATGTGTGTTTCCATGCATCCAGTACATAAATGTAATACTATTTTTTGAAATGATTTTAGACACAAAATATTTGTAATACAATATCAGCTTGAATATTTAGTGGTATGTTGTAAAGTGAGATCGAAGAAGTTTAATAAAAAAAGGGCAAAGAAATTCAGACATTGAGATAAAAAGTCTGATTAAAGTCTATTAAGTAGGTATGATTTGATCGATCAAAGTACAGTCGTTCGGTTTTTGTTATGATTCGCTCAGACTTCTTTTCGGTTTTTATATAATTGATATATAAAATAAACGCGCAAAATGCCTTATCATAATAGAGAGTTAAACGTACCATTACAGAGCGTATCAAATGCGCTACTTCTACAGAATTCTCTCGTTCATACTTGTTTATCATTCGATTAAGGCACATAGTATAAAGTAACAATAGAAAATATCATTGACTTCACAATTCGAGAAACGGATGAAAGACAAAGATATGAAAGTTCACAATTTATGATGATTTTTAACAATTAATATAATAATGATTTAACATTTTGCAAATTTAATTTGAAAATTTTCTGTACCTCTTAAATGTGAAACTAAATCATCAAATTTTTAAATGCATCATACATACTACGTATTTTATCAAATATATTATTGTAGAAACGAAAATAAGTTTGTCGTATTTTTGGTGGTATTTACAGATTTTTCTTTTTTACTCTTTATAAAATATAAAATAGAATAGTATCAAAGTAGTATGTAATGAAATTTTTTCATTATAAAATTTTTATGGTTTTTATGCACATCTTATCTATTCCATACAGCACTTGTAATAAAATTTTAATCACCAAAACCATAAGTGATTAATTCTTGTTATAATTCATGAGATTAAACAATTGTTCGTATTTACAAAAGTTACGTATACAGCACTAAAATATACTTTATATTGCAATAATACTTATGAATCCTACTGAACAAATATATACTTATAAATTATATATTATCATAAACTATTAAATTAAAATATAATTACTTGTTGTAAATAAAAGAAAGGTATTTGTACAAAGATATAAGGAAAAATGTATGAAATACGTTTTGCAACCTGACTCGTCTTATAACATGTATCTCAAAAGATGTAAATGCATCAAAAATTCTGAAGTTCTTATTGTATGTAAAATGCAGTAATAAAAAAAAACAGTCAAAACTATTATTTTTTTTATGTAGAGATCCAAAATTTTCTGGTAAATGCATGTGGCAGTGTCAAGGTTATTGTTAGAAAAATTTACCTATTTCTTATGTGTAGTCTTGAGCATCAGTCAAAATAAAATTGTATAAAAAGTCATTCGTATCTCAACATATTCAAAATGGCCATCAGTTGACAGCATTATCTATACTTTTCCTCTACTTATAAAATATTTCATTTTGCTAAAGTAATCATATCTACCATGTACTGAATTCACTATATTCAGTTCAAAAGTAAGTATTACTTTTTCATAATCACAAGTAAAATGTTCATAAAAAATCACTTATCTCTGATATTGCACCTTTGCAATATTCTAACGTAACTCTTAATTAAAATAATCATTAATTATATCCACATAACGTGAAAGTACTAACAGAACCATATATGTCAACGGTAACAAACTTAGTAAAATCTGTAGATATGCATACCTTTGCAAGAAAATTCGAAGGCAATTCAACGACAGCTAACAAAGCTGGCTGCATATGATCTTTACCTTCCTTGGATTTCCAGAATTTACTTAGATCTTGAATGCCATTACTATTATCCTCTGGCTGGCATTTTATAGTATCAAATATATTTGAATCTGCACTTTGACTAGTACTTATATGTGAACTGACTTTTGAGCTGTCAGTAACAGTAGGAGTACTGATGCTACGATTTATTCCACGCCATATTCCTCTTTTTGGTTTGCTCACATATAGAGCCAAGGTAATGTTCCACCAAACTAGTTCGTCGGAGTTGACGGAGAGCAAAATTGGAACACCAATTAGGGAAGGAGCCCAGCGTAACTGAGACACGGAAGTTGAATGAAAACGTAATATACGTATTTCATCTTGCATTATCATGTCAATAACCTAAAAATGAATAATATCAAGGTTACTTACAATGAGGATAATTGTCGTAGTTATATCATAACGGAAACTTACAGAAATATCGCCATTTTCGAAACCAACAGCTAAATAATTTTCATTTTCAGATATTTCACAACACGTTAGTCTTTTATTGTAATTCTTTCTAAAATATTCCGTTACTTTTATACACGTCGGTAGTGTTATCGTATCTTCCTGCAACTTATACACGGCTACTTCCCCGTTGTTATTCAACACTGCTAGAAAATTTTTCTGGTAGCTCAAACAACTGCAGATAGTCTCTATATCTAAATTATTAATAGTTACTTTGCATATTCGTAACCAATTAGTGCCATTGACATTCCACAGTGTTATTATACCGTTTCGTGTCACTGTTAGCACGCATCTTTCATGCACTTTATGGATTGAAATAACGTATCCTGCACTTTCAACTAAATATGATACTTTCGTATTTTCCCATACCTGCAAATAATCAAGTATATATAATTAAAATGTCAAATTGTTTTAGATATTCTGTAAACTTACCCGCAAATTATCATCTGTCCCTCTGCAAACGAGCACGCTACCATTTTCTAGGTCTAAAATTTTTATTAATTCTATATTCGATGAAAGGTTTAATACAGCTCTGCCTTCTGCAGTTGCTACATCAAATAAATTAACAATGCCTTTATCATTAACACAGACTATATTCTGCCCGTTCGGTGAAATAAATAAATTATTTAATCTTCCGTCAAATGGTTTTGTCTCTGCTTTTATATCATCATCGACTAATATGGCAATAGTGTTTGAAACAGTTTCTACAACAAGAGTGTCTACCGAACCAGGATGGTCCTGAAATACTGCATCAAATAAAAATTTCCTTGTCACTTTAGAAGTTCCTTCTACCGGAAATTTCCATTTATGAAGTAAGCGGTTTTCACTTCCACAAATAATATGGTAACCTTCTTCTTTTAGCCAATACGTATCCAAGGAAGAAACGCGGCTCTTATAAGTAGCTAGTAACTGGTATGCAGCGTTCGTGTTCCACACGTTTATAAATCCGTCAGAATCCGCTAAAACTAAATACTGGCCATCGTTAGTTATAGCAGCACAAACATAAACAGTTTTCCCGTTCTCGACATTTGCTCGTATCTGTTTATTATAACTATGCATATGACTGTTGCTTGCTCTGCACCATCTTACATGTATAGCTTTGTCTTCAGTAACGATGAATAAGGAATCATTTTGTTTTGGTACATCACGGAAGAAAATAACTTTCCTTTTTTGTAAGTCTAGGTTATACTGTGACAAATATTTGTATTCATCACCATATTTACAGTACGATATTAGAGCACCATGTACTTCATCCATTATATGGAGCAAGTTACTTCCAATTGTAAACGCTATCCTTTTAAAATAACTGTTACTGTAAAAATATTAAGAATAAGAATCTTTTGAGTATTAGCACTTAACCGCTAGAATTGAAAAATGTACCTGTGTGGATTATGGCTGTAATTTGCTAATATTTTCCCACAACGATCCCAGACCTAAAAATAAAAACACTTTATAATTCTTTCATCACCAAACATATTTACAAAAATTAATTATTCGTACCGTAATTGTTCCCTTGTTTGTACAAGCCGCAATATAATTGCTGTCATGTGTAAATGTCACATCTAGTATAATTTCATCAGTAATATTAAATATCATTGAGCTATCGTCATGAGGAACTTTACTTGTAAAGATTCCACTCCAAAAAACTTGTTTCTGTTTAGGACTTAGTGGTCCAATTTGACTCTGTTCATAATTGTCATCGTCAGAGAGCCTGAAAAGTTTTACTATACCGCGATCATCCAGCGATAAGAAGCAATCTGCCGTTGTAGAAACGACAATTTTTTTAATGCAACTTGTTTTATCATGTCCCCTGAAAACTTCTTGTCTTTTGTAAATGCTATTCCACAAAAATATTTCACCGCCCCTGCATCCAATCAGAATTAAATCCGGATCACATGCAAAACACGAAGTATGTATTTCTGTTGACATTTCTTCACTCAGTGGTATATCCTTCTGTTCCAACTTTTTATCATGAAATACGTATAGATATTTCGATCTTTCCCGTGCAAGTTTGATAGCAGTATCTTTTATATAGCCATCATAAGAATGATTCATAGCTATCTGTACTATATCCAAACATCTTTTACGTCTATGTTCCGCGATAGTGCTCGCTTGTTCCTCCAAGAATTTTTTTAGATCGATAAAACGTGATTCATATTCTGTATCATGATCTTTAGTAATGTATTTTTCGTAATTGTCTAGATCAATCAGTAGATTGCTCAAACCACTGTGAATTATTGTCGCTTGTATAAAATTAAGATTTAAATATATCTCTGGAAATTCATCGTACAATTTTGCTTGCTCCAAATGGTACCCGAGGTACGAGTAACTATAATTATCCGCGGGAAGTTTTGAAAAGTCATCTTTGCAATATCTACGATATTTATCGATCAGTGACTTATGCATTTGTACAAATTCATCGTTTGAAATTTTTTTTCGAAGATGACAAAGTAACAAATCATGAACACCGTAGATATAGCTACGTAATTCATCGTTCCATTGTTTAGCTGCAAGTGACTTATGACAAAAGTCGAGCATCATTTCTTCAACTTGAAATGGAGACCCTTCCCAAAGAACTTCCAATATCTGCACATAAATGTAACTTTTAACACATAAATATCAAATAACATTACATACTTCGGGGATCACATTATCTTACCTGTGGGGTTATATTTACATCTTCTCTAAATATTACTAATTCTTCATAACGTTCCCGCATTTCGGGAGGTAACTGATTTATGCACATATTAAAAATTGCTTCTTGCTTTTCCAAAAATTTTTTAATTACTCTAAAAAAACAAAATATACGTTATTCGTAACTATGATAAGATAAAGATAGTGAATGATTCATATAATGATAATATTACTTATTCTTTTCATCCTTATTTCTCAAAGAGTTTAAATAATATTTCCATCTGTCTGATCTTAGATTCATGTCATGTTTAAATTCTTCAAATTGAGCTGAAAACATAGCTATTAATAAAGGCATTCCTTTACATTCCTCATGAATTTGTTTTGCTTCTGGAGGAAGTTTATCTATTTCTGTTTCTAACACTTTGGCAAAAAGGCCTAAGGTTTCTGTTTCTGTGAAGCCATCATTCATCTGTAAACAGATAACTTTTAATATGCAGCATGATAATAAAAATATAGGCAAAAGAGATTCAACTCACCTTAATAACAAAAGGTCTTTTCTCATATACAACATCTAGATCAGCTGTAATTACTAAAGTCTTGCAATCAAAATCAAATACATCAATTATTTTAGGGTAACAAACATCATCTAGAATTAATAAAGCATGCTTTTCTTTGCTGAAATGATACTTTAAGTAATGAATAAGCGAATCTCTTAAAGGCTCTGGTTTTAACGATCCTGGCAGCATTTCTATATTTTTAACAAGGTGGTAAAGTCTGTTTAATTGAATTAATATTTCTTCATCAACTGAACGTTCATAACCAAATTTGATCCAGTATACTTCATTCTGTAAGGCACAAACAAATTGTTTATACACAAATTCCATAGTATTCAATAAAAGATAATTCAACTTCAAAAACTTACATTAAATACATTTTTCACAAATTTAGTATCTTTTAGTGTACTAGCTGTTAGGCATGATTTACCAAAACCTTTCATCCCATGAAGCACAACATACTGATTTGGTTGTAACTGTTCTAAGTGAGTCTTTAACTGCATCATCTGTAAATGTATGTTATGTTGATTTTATATAAAGGTGATTCATTATTACTAATATTAGTATGTACAAAATATTTAGCAATTTTTGTTAAACTTACACGATCGATTTCCATAAGCATGTACATAAAATAACAAGCAATACATTTAACAATCAAAATTAATAACATATTCATTATGGTAACAAAAAATAAACAAATATTTATACAATTCATTAAAATTGGAAAATATCAACAAAAATTTTAATACATTAGCTTAATGAACTAGTACAACTACAACATTTAATGAGCCTTAAATATGTAAGACATATATTTGATACCTTTTCCTCTCTTACAACACTTAATGGTGAAATCGGTGGAAGAGTTGGTGTAGCGATATGTCTTATATCGCTAACAGCTTTTCCACTTTCTTCCATTTTACCCAAATCATCGCTCAACCACTCATAATGATGTTGTAAAGCTTCACGAAAAATACTAAATGCATTTGGCCCCCGACTAAAACAATTTAGAATCATAAGAATTTTGTACATGAAGGTAACAGTTACATTCATATAAGTAAAATTCATACTTTGGAAGTATATCCAACAAGATTTCAGCTTTCTCTTGTTTAGAGATTCCAGCCTCAATCTGAGCTATATCCTGAGGCTTTAATATATACTCTGATTTTAGTGGCTGTATAATACCATTATGTACATCTATATCAGCCACTATATTGCTTCGCAAGCGTTTAAGAATACTTTGATGTAGTTTAATCATTCTTGTAATATTCACACATATCCTACCACATTATCTATTTTGCAGCTCGTTGCCAGCTGTAAAAGAAACCAAATAAAAATCTTTACTGTTGCAATATAAAGGTTTCATATAAGGAGGACAAGCATGGAAAACAGTTTCTGATTTCTGAATATAGCACTTCAAGGTTTCTGTGTGAACCTTGACTTTCTATGCCAATCTTGATAAACATTCCACAAAATTTTCACAACTCCTTCATTCTATTACTAATTGAAATAGTAAATAACAAAAGTAAATTAACATAAAACAATATATATACTAAAACAGTTTTAATAAAACAAAAATAGTGACAACATTAATAAAGATACACATATATTTTCAATTATTTTATTCTCTGGAACCTATTATGACAGTTTTATACGCGTCGCAATAACTGTATTATCACTTATTTAATACATATATATATGTAGAGTTCCTCTTATTTTTTGTATGAAGTTTAAAAAGTAGATGAGCTCTGCGGGTCAATGACTGTAACTAAATCCGAACTCAAACCTCGTGGTCCTATGAAGTTACTTTAATAATAGCCTTGCGGTGAAAGTCTTACCTCATAAAAGCCGTTCGCTCAAAACATGTAGTATTTTTACGTGTTGCGCGGCCTTTGTTTGAAAATCAGAATAATCACTCCGCAACACTACAACGCCATACCACTAACAAACGACTGACACCACTGCACCAGTACCGCGCGCCTGAGTCAAGCAGCGGTGTTGACATTGTTGCCAAATCCACCAATCAAATGCGTTTCTGATTGACTATCACGTGTGTAATATGCTATCTTTTAAACAATACATCCCTTATCCCAAAAGATATAAAAAAAGAGGGAAGGTAATAAAGCATCATCGATAACTTAAGACGAATAGGTTTAGAACTATACTGCAATTAGGAAATATGATTTCTACGAATATTTTGAGTCCTACTCAGAGTGGCTTACATATTTTCACGGTGAATCCTGTGCAAAAAAAAAATCTGTTATAAAAAATCTAATAAATATTTATGTATGTGAAACACCATAGTAAGGAAAAAAACTGAAATTAATATTTTATTGAAATAAATAATTTTTGTTATTGGTAATGAATTTTGTAGAAACAGAGATAGGGAAAAGTAAGGAAATAATTTTATTAAGATAGATTAGTTTTTTGCAGTAGTCTTACAGTTGATGCTTGCACCTACGGGAATTCCACTTGATAACGGGACTTCTTAATGAATTCATAACACTGTTGGTGAATAATAAAAACGCGAAAGAATTCTAGTTAAGTATTATACTAATTATACTAATTAAGTATTTCTTGCAATTAAAGATAAATGTAATATGTAATTATCTAAAATATACCTTTATATATTATTTAACAAGTGAATATAAATAATTTTGAATTTTTGCAATGAGGATGTTTGGAAGTCACTACTATATTGATAAAATCAGTATGAATGGTTGATCAAATTAAAATTAACATCTAGTAAAATTTATTTTATATTAAAAGTTATTAATAATAAAAAATACAATTAATAAACAAATATTGAAAAAATACATCCACCAAGTCCGATATGGTCTAGTGGCTAGGATACCTGGCTCTCACCCAGGAGGCTCGGGTTCGATTCCCGGTATCGGAAATTTCTTTTTGCATATATTCTTTTTAAATTGTTATTAAAGATCGAAATTGTATGTTAAACATAAAAAATACTAAATCACAGAACCACGCGAATATTCAGGAAAAATTCCAAGCTATTGTCTTGTTTGTATATTTATAACCATGGATTGCACAAGTACACTAGGAACTATTAATTAAACAAATATGGCACAAGTATGCACTTCTAAAATCGGCAAATGTACCGCACTATTTGAATCTCAGCTATGTAAAATAACTAACTAAAGTCTTAACTAAGTTCTGTAGCTAACTGTATTCTATTACTAACTATTTCTTTCTGGATAATTAAATGTATTAGTTGAATCTCTGACTAAATCGTGAAGAGTTATGGTCGATGTCACCTCAGTGTCTTTCCTGACGGGAGAAGAATCAGGTAGGTTCAAAAATGTACAAGGGAAGGAAGGAGGGAAGATGTGGAAGGGAAGAGACAAGTTTCTGCCCTTCTTAGATTTTCCCACTCGACACTTTCGGTGAATACAGCTCGACCCTTGACCATCAAGCAATAAAGTCAAGAGGCGTTAGCCTTGACAAAGCATGTTAGAAAGTTAGAAATACCTGGCAACCAAATGTGGACATCAATCGAAAAACTGTGTATAGTAAAAATCGCGAGTCTGTATGGTTTCAAGATTATTGCACACGATATTCAAAATTACTAAGGGTTGCAAATAGTAACATGAAGGTCGTAAGACTACAGAAAATGTAACTCTATAACGAATTACAAAATATATGAAGCTAAATATATAAAAAATTTAATATTTTACGGTGGGATTAAAATTATGCAAAAATAACCCCTGCGGTGGCCGGGAATCGAACCCGGATCAACTGCTTGGAAGGCAACTATGCTGACCATTACACCACCACCGCAGTTGAGATCTACTCCTTTTAAAGTACAATCGAAGTTATGGCTAGATCAACTCTGGTAAAAGTATGAATTTCCGGGACAAAAATAATTCACTGCGATGGCCGGGAATCGAACCCGGATCAACTGCTTGGAAGGCAACTATGCTAACCATTACACCACCATCGCAGTTGATAAGTCTTTTGCTATATATGGATCAGAAATCCCCATATACTCTTAATAAATACTTATATGTCTCGTCCTTTAATTGTTCCGGCACTTGCACACGATAATTCGGTAAATTTTAATTATACACAATTAATATGTAGCGCAGTTTCTAAATAACAACTAAGTTTCTAAAAATCAGGATATGTAGATATAATTTAAGATGTACTTCGAACGAGGAACGGCGACTAACTAACTTTCCCTCAGCCGATCCGGAAAAAGGACAGCTCCTTAACAAAAGACGCACGTGTTCCCGGTCAAAGTGGCCTGTCACCCCCATAAAGTTAAGGACAGGCCCATCACTCAGGCCCTAAGTAATCGCGAACGCCAACCATCTACAAATAGTTACATTTACATTGCTACATGGGTTCGATTAAATATTTACTTACATAAGTATGATGTTTATCTCATTATTTTATGTATATTGGTATAAAACTTGAAGGTTTCATAAAATAGAAAAAATGTTGTATAAAAGAAAGAAGAAAAAGTTTCGTTAGTATTCGCCATTCACCACTAGGTGACCTCTTAGCCAATTCTTTAGTTACCACTAGGTGACTATAGTAGCTCAAGGTGTAAAATTTTGTAATTAATGGTATTAATTTCGGAGACGAAAGAAGGGAAGAAAAAGTTTCGTTAGTATCCGTCATTCACCACTAGGTGACTATAGTGGTTCAAGGCATAAAATTTTTTAATTATTGGTATTAATTTTGGAGGCTAGTTATAAATATAGATTAGGTTCAGATATCAACGGGTACAGGTTATCAAATATCATTTATCACAATACAAGAATCTGTTATTTAAAAGAAGAGTTTTCTGTTGCTGATGTTCTGGCTTGTCGTCAGATGGCGATAGTAATATCATTCCGGAACGCGCACAAATTTAAAGAAAGTCTAAAAATCAAGTACACAATTTGGCTTGTTAGATTTGTGGAAATTTAATGGAGTAAGGGTAATTAGTTTGTTAAGGGTTGTACTGTTCTACACTTCTTATATCTACCCACACAAATATATCGACTCTTCCACACTTTACACTCTCCACACAAATTCCATGATATCCTTACTTTACTATAGTGAGAACTACTTTACGTGTCTATACACTAAACTCGAAGGGTCTTCTGACCAACTACCTGACCTTTCCTACTTTCCTCAGTCCTTCAGTTTTTCCTGACAATAAAAATACTATGTGGGTAATACTGAAAATCTTGCTAGGCCTATTAACTTTGCTAGGCCTATTAACCTTGCTAAACCTATAGATCTCATCACCCTATTAATTGCCTCGCATTATCACAGCGATAAAGTCGTTCATGCAACGCGAGTAATCAGAGGGACTCGAAATCTTGTCATCATTGCCCAAAACAATAAATGCCTATCAATCTCTTTGATCTTAATCACTACCATCAATAACGTTGTAATGTAATAGCAGTCATAATCGATGCAGCATGATATGACACGAAAGCACATTACACGAGAGGTGTACATGTACTACCTCATCTGCGGTAGCAATAATGGCGATTAAATGCCAGCACTTAATGAGCACACGCACAGCATTGTTCTCCGTTTGCCAATTAAACAGCATTATCCATTCAAAACAATGCATTTTATTCTTAAAACTTGAAACAAAGGGTGCTTGATCCCTAAAAATGAAAAAAGTTTAAGCCCTGCTGATAGCCAATGAAATCGGCTACTGACACACACACTAGCGTGCGGTGATTCACTGTATAAAGCTTCTTTGTTCTCGTATTATTATATCAAAACTTTTCTGCGCGTTCAAATATTTTATTTTCGATTTTTCTTATTTTAGTAATAAATTGATGATTGTTTTAAATCAAGGTAGAGGTGGATGGTCATACCAAATTTTTAAATTCTATCACTCTTTAAATTGCCAAAGTCTCTTTTTCAATTTATAAATTTACAAACTCCCAAAGTTCAAAAATTTCATATTCTGAATTTCTCAAATTTAAGAATTTCGAACCTCAAATCTTTGAAGAAATTTTCAAATTTTTAAGTTTTTAAATTCAAATTTCCAAGTCTTTAAATTCTCGAGTTCCTCAACACTAAAATTCATAAATCTCCTAATATTCGAACTCCTAAATCTAATTTGCAAGTTCCGAAATTCCCTGAACGCAAATAGCTAAATTCCGAAAGCGGGATCGCAGCGGAAGATTAAATCATTCTTGAATAATCCCGGTTGCGGTGGTAACCGGTGTCGTTATTGTTGGCGATACGAGATTGCGTAAATGAATTATTTGATTAGCCCATTGGAGTGTTCGACGGTGACACGTATAGGTGCGCTCGGTCCCGTAGCACGCCATAGACAAGCTGCAAATTCGATTACGTTAGAAACAGCATTTGGCGCTCAGCCCGCATTAGCCGTGCATTGGTTACTTGCCCGATTAATTTGTCGCGGATTCACTGTAGCGAGCAACTATGCCGTCGGAAGATATACATCGAGTCGGTGACATTTTGCACGGTATCCGAAACGCGGCCACTAACCGCGGATAGATCGATAGGTGCGTCGGTGTCATTAAGGTGGCACGTTCCTAATTAAAGAGAGAAACACGCGGTACGTCCAGGCAATTACGGTAACAATCTAAACTCACGAAGGCCACGAGAGAGGGTGAAAGTGCCAGGAAAATATTTCTCATCACCTGTAGCAAACTAATGACTGAGGTGGGTCCTGTGCACGAACTGAAGGGTCGACCGGTCATTTCATCCCGTGATCGTCGCGATAAAATTATGAGACTATTCGGATATCGCGAACATCGTGGGCTTATTCTTTAATTATGGAAAGATCTCGACGCGATTCCCGAGGAGACGCGGTACATTTATCAAGGGATTTGCATATCGCGTGTACAGGACCCTGCATACTCGGACGATAAGCTGGTCAACCGACTACAGGAGCTAACTGCTCGGGTTCGGATGACTTAGGCTATCGTTACAGCAAATTGTGCACCATGGTGGATTA